GCCCAAGGGCCATGCTTCCAAAGCTCGAAAATAAGATATCTTAAGCGCCAAAGCCATATGTTTCGACATTCTTGATAAACAAAGTTAAGCGCATACAGTCGAGGACATTTGGAAACTGCTTAATAAATTTGTCAACACTCAAGTTTCAATATCTCCACGATTGCCAGGATCGGTCTGTGTGATTGAGAAATAAGCTGCTTAATCCGATAGTATATCGATGCTGATGCATAAGAAGGCTCCTCAGACAGAACTAGCAATTTCCATGCCATTCCTCTCGATGTACACACTGCAGTGAGAGAAATGTAACTGATAGAACGATTTTTCGTAAAGTATATTGACTTGGTTGGAGCGCTGCACAAAGTGCATTTGATCATGCTGCTCTGTAACAACTTCTTCTACAAGTTGACACTGAGCCGAAGCAGTAGCTGCATTAAGCTTGCTAAAAGCGTATGCAATTCGCCTATGACGTCAGTTTTCTGACGTCATAGGCGAATTTTCGATTGGGAAATCTCCCATCTGTCAAGACACCCGCTTCATACATTACATGGAAGAAATTATCGATGGCATTGCACTGTTCACCTACTCAGGACTGTCGACGCGTTACACACACGACAATTTTACAGAACTTTTATATCTGGGTACAACATGATCTCTTGTCACTACTTCGTAGTAATCCTTTAACAAAATGGTATAAGTAACGTTGACAATAGCTGCCCCACGCCTCGGCTTAGTATTCTCAGTGATAGACTTGTCCAAGATGGATAAGAGCTCAGCTCCTCCTCTGGTACGTTGGTACCGATAGTACCAACGTGGCGATTTACTGGATAGCAAATGATCACATTTATCCACTAATCATATACATTTTTCTTGCAAAAGATTCCAGATAATGTCGATACAAAAGAAAATATCTGCTTGTTTTTTTCCTGTGTCACTCGTTTTACGAGTGTATACATTTGTTTATCATGCAACCGTAAGGCTTCAATTCTAGCAAGGTGGTGATACTCAACTTTTTCTAACTTGGACCATGCCCTTACAACGGGACACAAATACCAGCTGCAAACGACAGTCATCCTTTCTACCGATTTGTGTTCTGAAGACTGTGACAATAAAATACGTATCCCTCCTATCAAAAGCAAACCCCGCGGATGAAGGCATAAACTTATGTTTTCCCTTTCCAACCTCGTGGAGATCCCGGCTCAAAGCTGTCTTTTTTTTAGTCTAAGCAATGCATTTTCGTGAATATACATAATATCGCAGCTAATAAATTCGTTGGATCATTTGCCCCGCACTAAAGCTGTCGCGGTTTCGTGTGCTCTTCTGAATTTGTAGCAACGGTTGGTTCATGAGTCACCACAGATCGTCAAAGCTGGTTGTATACAGCGCCCATTGACTCTCAGCTGCCTTGGATAAGCTCGAATTTTAAAATTAAGTCAAAGCTCAGAAAGCGTTCCACACTTTAAAGTTAAGGAAGAATAGAGCCTTTAACATCTTGATAAGTGTCTCGAACCAAGACATCGTATCTGCACTCGGTACCCCGAAATGGCTTTTCACATATCCCATTTTGCTTTCAACGTTATTAACTCGTACATAAACGCACGACACTTTCGAGTCTATAAGATCTTTAAATAGTTTTCAAATTCATCATTCGGCAACAAATTTGAGCGAATACATCATCGCTTTAAAGTGTCATTCACTTTGAAGTTAGCCCCATTGATCTCGACCTCCCTGTTATACAATAGAAATTGGTTCTTTTCAATGCTAACAATCCCCTTGAAAAGAGTCTATTGGTCAAATCGAGGTAAAAAAATGACTCTCACTACCTCTAACCAGAGAGAGTTAAGGGAGCGCGCGAGGTGTAAGTGCCTTGTTCTCTCGAAGGTCTGACACCTAATAATACCACACATGTGCTACCTACATAAAATATTACTCTGATTCTTGTTAGCTTTTGCTGATACTCATTTCTTCGCATACCACAGAGCCTCCACCTCCATTGCAAATTGGAGGTTATGGTACGTGCTACCTTGAAAGTTTAATGTTGCATGCGAGAAAGCTTCAGGTTGGCAGCACCTTCTTCATTAGTATGTAACTGTTACAGTTGACTGAAATGGCTCAGCTTGATTTCCAGCTGTGAAAAATCTTACCGCTTAGACATAGTCCAGCAAATTGCTTTTTCTTGACGGATAAATTGAAATTTTATCCGCTCGCGATTAGACAGATCAGGTGATGCACACACTTGGGCACTTAAGCAGCTCCATCACCGAAATGCTTTGTCGTTTGAGTTATCACACACTCGTGCACATTTGTGCACGCTTGCGGATCGCTAGCGTGGTGAGTTTTGCTTAGTTTCTTTTACCCATGCTAATCTATCTTGTTTAATGGAGGATTTGATCGGAGCATTCGTCATCAGATAGATCCAGGTCCATGAACAGATTTCATGATAGAAAAATGACCCTCATCTGTAGAACAATGCTATATAATTACATTCTTCCGTGCATAGTACGAAGTTTTTTCGTTAGTGAGAGCGTCTCTTTATTCTGCGTTAGAAAGGCTACCAGTACGCGGTGAAAGATGCGCAAACTAATAGGCTATATGAAGCCGCAATTCCAACAAAAACTTCTCTCTCTTTCAACGATTATACAAGTTCTGCAAAGTGATCCATATCCACGATCAAATATCATTATGTTTTATATGATGAAGTCGATTTGATAAAGTCGATTTAATTGCAACATTTTGGTAAAATCAAAACAAAAAGTACGAGCTAAGTAATATATCGTTTTATTCTGAAGCACAAGAGCTTTTCGAAATTAGCACTGAATTATTCGACGATTGCCAAAACAAAAACAAATTTGTCATTAAACAGAATGAGACGCTATCATATGTTTAGTTTCTATACTAAATGTCTGACCGTGATTAATCGAGAAGTCGATAAATAAGAAGCAGTGAACAGAGAACATCTTCAAAAACCCGTAATGTAAATACAATTGTTTTGGACATCTATTAGGATCCCAAGAATATTTATACAAATTTTAGATTGCAACGACAAATTATGCTCTCCGCGATAGTCTATGTCTCAAAGTGAAATGTACTCGACGCTGTCAGGTACCTAGTAAAAGGCATTGGTTTTGCAGACTGTTCTTCCGGGACCCTTGAGCTTACTTACAATTTGCTTCACATATGTGGCTGAACAACCACACTCGGCTAATTTTTTATGCCATGTCCAAATTATACCAGGGTTTCAAGATTATTTGTAACCGTGTCGATATATTGTTGTTGGCTCAAAGGGCTATGATCATAATATATTGGAATATTGTAGTTTAAACCAGGGTGACCTCCGTCAAGAATATTCGACTTAGTAAATGGGTACCATCAATAAACACGTCACAGTATCGAGTAATCACTTGTTTGTGCCATTGCATATAGAGAAATAGCGGGATGTTTTGGATGTAGCTGATAATGACCCAGATGTTATCTAAACACCTAATTGGCTGTCGAATAAACGGGCTGAGAATATGGATCTATTTTGCGATATATTCGTCCGCAATCCAGAGTATACAATTCGAATATGAACATCTCAATTGGACACTTATGTTTTTTTCACTTTAAATGTTATCCGTCAATAAAGACATTTGTGATTTTGCCACTGGCGAAATCTTGTTTATGAGCTGCTTTATTGAGAAGCATAATCTTCTTACAAATCATGCAAAAATTAACGCTATACTATATTGGTCGATGCCACTATCCAAAAGGATTTACGGACATGCTTGACTACTACTCGGTGCAAAATTTGCCAACCTAGTATGGCTTGTTACAATTTTCTTCGAAATGAATGTTCAATAATATCGGGTGCTCATAAAGAGAAGATTGCAAAACAATCATTCTTGAGCAGTAATTGTGTACGTATCCCCCAATTATGTCTACTACTTGCCGTGTAGCATGAGCGCGCCTGTTCGAATCCTTCCAAATCCTGATCACCTATTTCATGTGGTCTGTGACGATTCGGCTTTTGCCATTCGCTACGCTTTGCTTCAAGCAGAGACCAGTGGGTATGAACGCGTTATCGTACCTCGATCTCGTTAGCTTAAAGCTACAGACAAAAACTATCACCTTCACTACTGAGCCATACTGCCTTGGAGTATGTTATTGTCAAATGCAGGTTACATCTATGTCTATACGAATTATGCATCATTATGCACAGAAACATCGTCACCACATCTCTATTAAATAATGAAATGGATAGGGTTTGCGCTAAAATATATGCGAGGTCGACTTGATGTGATAAAAGTCGTGATTTCGCGTCTCCAATATGATATATTGAGTCGTATCGAAATAGTGGCATCACGAATCGACGATACTATACGTACAAAATACGAGTCAGACACAACTAATACTTGCGGTAAGACACGTACAAATAAAAAGGCACTTATGTGCGCACATGTTAAATGTCTCAGGGGGTAATATTATATAGCAATCTTGCGCTCCAGGCTTAATTCTAGGAGTGTTGACTTGGTCACTATATCGACGACAAGTGATAACAAGTGCAACGAAGTTGCGAGGCATCTTATACAAAAAAGTCCTGAATTTAATGGTCACGTTACCTAACACGAAAATTCTATTCATTTGCCTCATCCGTACCAGTAAGTACAACACGTTATAAAACGTATTCAATAGGTCACAGTGAATCATGCTTGCGGTCTTACTAGAGACGCAAGCTGTCGATGTAATTGATCAGTTAGGTCGGCTTGCTGTTTGAGAAATTCAAGTCGACGTAAACAAATGAACAAATTGAGTCCGTAAATAAAGCGGTATATGATATCTTTTAATGCGCACGTGCAGAACGACTGCGGTTTGCTTTCACACATAAAAATATTTGCTGAACACGCAATACACGTCTCAACTGGTGCTGTTTCACTTACATTACCTGGTTCATTGCAGATAAAACTAATCTGGTGTCAAACCTTATGAATTCAACTTGTTGCAAAGCGCGATCGTGATCCGAGACGATGGCCAAAGGCAAATCATCGCTTCGTCACTTCTATTTTCGCGAGGAAAGCGAGCAGTTTGGCGGACTCCCGCATCCTATGAACATCCCAATAAACGATTATGGTTTTTGTGGAGGAATTGTTGATACTCATCGACCTATGTTATTGGTCGGGTTACGCTCTTAGCAATTCGAAATATAATGCTGAATAAATTCAGCGTAATTCACCGAAAGCGCGGCGTTACAGAATTAATGGAAATGATACAGCAATTTCAAATGAATTATACATACACTTGCTGTGTCTACTGTAATCCATAAAAGAATTTGCCCTAACTAGCGGTTGTTAAAATGAAGACTATGAGTTCAACTCTTGCCCCCCGCCGCACATCTCGCATTCCTTGCGATCTTACTAAAGCCAGACTGCAATTTCGCATTCATAAGTAACCTAGGAACGGATCGCATTTTTGGAGACAAAGAAAGGTCATGATTTGATTGCGCGTACCTTTGTTCTTATATGATTGTCGAATGTCGAGTCACAGGGCGTCGAGCGTCGAGCGTTATTTGTCGGATGAATCGATCAAAACCATAAAAACGCCGCTAACGATCTTTATGAAAATTGCTGTGTCTTATGCGCTTGTCAACAAGCGAGCTAGGGACATTTCTTGTCTGATTTAAATCATTTATAATGATATCGCCTCAAACCCGTACTAAGACGTTTTATCACTTTGCGTTTGCGTGTTTGATGTAAAGTCACAAAGCCGTCTAGCGGTCGGGGAAGTGAATGGCAGCACACCAGAAACCAGGGAGTCACTCTGACTACTTTCATCTATCTATACCTAACCATTTCACCGAAAAATGTCACCTCGGCGTCGCTTTTAAAATCGCTTTCTTCTAGGCAAATGTTCGAATTATGCGTTGCAAGTAAGCAGCCTGGAAAGAAAGTCATGCGTGCTTCAAAGTCCGCACTGAAATTCGCTTGCTGGAAGTGAGGCTCTTGGGACAAGACTAACGGTATGTATCCCTGACAAGATTCACGTCTGGTGGGGACCTAACGTGGAATTTACTCTGTCGTGGAATAAGTACAGGCTGAACACTATTTTACTTCGCACTTATGCACCACTGAGGCTGGTACCGTGATAAAGTGTAAAGTACTAAGCACAAAAATAGAATGATCGTACTCCAAAAAGAAGTCTCAAGGAAGCTTGTCGCAATGAACTAGCACGTTTGTATCATAGATGATAAACGAAAATATCAGTTATAGCTAAATGCAATTCATTTAATTATATCACGCACTTATCAAGTAGTATCAAGTGATAAGGACTTGACAGGATCAAGATGTTGCGTCCTAGGAGTGGCCTTCTCTAGACGGTTGTTATCGATCGAAAAACCCACGAGTCAGAATCTTATTTCTTTGTGCGAAGCGCCACAATAGCCTTCTTTCCAACGTAAGTGCAAAACAAATCATGGTGTTGGTGTCGGTAAGAAACCTGAGACCAGAAATATGACTCAGCAATTCAGATTGCAATGCAAGTGAAGTATAGTCATCAACAAGATAGCTATCTGAGCGAGGGAAAGCATTGTATACCCCTATCAAGTAGTTCCAAGCTGCAGTCATTCGATGACTAAGAGGTTACTTTAAAGTGACCAAGCGTAACAGCATTAACTATTGTGGCGGCAGACATCTGTTGTATTCAGTCACTGAATAGCGCGATAGGTGCGTTGGACAACAGGAAGAAGGGGATTGGGATGCCCTTTCAAGAAGCGCCATGACCTGATACATCAAAGTCTTACGAGTTTACATTGCGGTAAGGTGTTGAGTAGAGGAACCGAAGTGAATAAATTAAGCTCTTTAGCTCGCTACTCTGCGCTACCTCTAAGCCTGCCTTTCTAGATCCTTCTGGGAGCTTCTATAAGCATCCTGAGTTATCTAGACCATTGAACGCCAGCCATTATGTAATTACTAACTGTGATGTGCTCGTAAATATGGTGACGTCATCTGCCTGTTCAACATGCATTCAGCGGTGTAATC